CACCGAAACACATGAACACGAGCAAGCAGAACATGGCGTATTGAAAGTGGTCCATGACCAATATGGAATCGTTTGATTCGGAATCAGATTTCAATAGGGTGAGGAGGGTTTCTAGAACCCACTTGCGGATTGAGGAAAATGATTTGATCCGGGAGTGGTGGAGCATCTCGGAGATGAGGTTGCGGCGGAGAACGCGCCACGTTGGGCCGTAAGAGGCGGAGCTGATGTTATGTTGGTTGCTGGACAAGAATTTTCGAGTGGGAAGAGGTTTGGGTCGGTCGGAGAAGAGAGAACCGTTTTGGATTAAGGCATGGTGGGCGAGGGTTCGATCGCGGATGAATATGGATGGGCGAGAGACAATTCGGATAGTGATGATGGGACCATATTTGGCGTGGAGGCCTCGAAGAATTTGCTCAAGTTCTGAGATTTTTCTTAGCCATGCGATGGTTGTGATGATGGGGATGTGAAGAGGGCCAGGAGGGATTTTAATGCTCTTGTTTTTTATGTCATTGTTTTTGTTGGTGTTGGTGTTGGTGTTGGATGAGTAAAGGGAGAGGATGGCCCTGATAAGCACACAGCAACAGAAAGAAACTAGGATCACAAACCAGGTTTCCATGTTTTAGTCTTAGTAGCAGAGTGTGGGACTGAGACTCCTTAGTCCTTATGGTTTTGATAAGAGCAAATTCAGTTGCTCATACTGTGCAATGATACAGAACTGGGTGTCTTGTACAGAAGGACACAGAATCATTTATAATGGAGGAAATAAAAACGCTCATGACAAATTTGACGTCATTGCGTACGCAATCAGGGAAATTAAATTGATTTGCCACGGAAGCACAACTGCACAAGTCATGCAACATAACTAAATTTTGTTTTAACTTTATTCGAAGCAGATAATTTATCTATAATAAATTTAATATGATGTTATTTTAAGATAAAGATTATGATATTTTTATAATTTTAATTTATTCAAATTATTATAGTCTTTTTAGTTATAATTTTTAAATATCATAACAATATCGTTTTAAAAATAAATATAGATAATTTATCTTCTACAAAAATATTTTTAATTTTTTTTCCTACAAATAAAAGACAAGTTAAACAATAATAATAAAATTCAAACTTATCCCATTAAAATATCATGATGCGTTGACAATTTTCTACATTAGACATCTTGTCAGCGTTACTTTTCTCATATTAGTAATTTCTTTATGCTGTCACTTCTAAATTCAATTAATTTAATATCTTGCTATCTTAGTAATTTATAATATTAGTACCTCACTTCTAAATTGAATTTATTTAATATGAGGTTGTATTAGAATTTTATGAATAATAATCAGTTTTTATTGAGTCATTTTCAATTGACTTTTAACATTATTTTCAAAATAATGTAATCGCGTTTTATAATGTGATCGTTGATGTTTTATTGTTTAGAAACATTTTCCTTACGTCATTTTTTCCTTTAACTTAACAACCGCGTATTAAAAGCGCAACAACTAACATCTAGTACCTTGACCTTACGTCCACCTTGCGATTGACACTTCTTCCATTAGGTCTACAACGCTGCTTCCTTTTTCACGCTACCAATGTTTACCTGAAGTACTGACACTTCAAAAATTTTGACGTGTTGTGTCTGATACTTCTCAATATTCTGACATTTTAACACGTATTGTAAAGACTCAAAAAAGATTAAAATGTTATGTTGTGTTAGGTTTTTAGTATCAACTATTAAATTCATTTGATTATGATTATCAATTTATTGCGTTTAATATAAATTTTTAGGATATCTAATATTTTTTTGTAAAATTGATTGGTATTATAAGTCTACCTTCCATTTTTTATTAAATTATTGAATATTAAATATAATATACACTACATAAATTAAAAATATTATTTAATATCAAAACGTATCCTAACGTGTCGAAATCTAACATTTTTTAAAATTAACATATCGGAGTGTCGTGTCGTGTTGTATCTCATGTCCCGTGTCGATGTCGGTGTAACATTGTTTATGTGCACGCTACAAAACTTGCCAATTAAGCATTGGTTTTAAATTTGAGAGCAAAAGTGTTGGATTATGAAACTGCTATTACAATGTTCACATACCACATTAGAACAATGACACATATTTCCATATTTTCCGAAACAACATAATCTTTATTCTCTGTAATGAGTTTGTATACTTGTTTTTTTTTTTTTTTTTTTGGAGAATAGTACGTTGTATATATACATGTTGGGTGTTAGTTATGTATGTGCATAGATTGTAATTTAGGAGCTTTGAGAGGAACCATGAATGGATGGACAACTAAACCTTTATTGTCTCAAGGTTTGCCTAGTTTCAACGTTGGATCCTCTCATGTGAAAAAATAATCATGTGATTATGTTATTTTATTTGATCACAACCACTCATTTAAAAATTTTACATTTTTTTTTTCTTATCTCATCATCAATGAGTGATTGTGAACAAATAACATGATAATATAACTACGTTTTCACATGAAAAGATTCAAATATGATATTCGATGTCGGGCTTGTCAAAATGATAGAGACTAAAATAGAGGACATATGTCACACCTAAAAAAAAAAATTAACTTTGGAGCATGATTATTATTGAAACACTGTTCGTCTTACAATTTTTTTTTTCAAGTTTTCTGTTTCTCCACCTCCTTATCTTTTCTCATACCTTGCCTTCATTAATCAACAACATGCCGATATTCTCGCTGTTTCTCCCCTCTACCTTTGTTATTCATCTCCAAATTCTTATTTTCTAATTGAATACTAATACGACACTGTTATCTACTTATTTTATGGGTCTATATCTTAATCGCCCACAACACACACGGATAAGATAACAATCTTATTAAATAAGATATCAATCTTATGATATTACAAGTGAATCGAATATTGGGTCCCCAATATTTCTAAATTGATCAGAATCTTATTATTACAAGGTAATTCATATATAAATAATAGTTTAAGCTAATCAAGTACATACTTTATATTCTATTCTCTTAGTTATTATTGTGTATTCTCTCTTAGCTATTATTATGCGTGCACACATCCCCACGCTTTAGATATATTGTTCTTCTTGGTGCAATCTGCTACCTTTGGGGATGTTTGGCAGGAGTTTTTAATATAGATACCCATGCAACTTTTATTGCATTTCTCTTTGACCATGTTTGGTGTAAGAGTTTAACAAATTTCACTATCAAAATCGTTTTCCCAGTCATTGTAATTCATTTGCAAAAATAGATGAAAACAATTGTTTTGAAAAACCACATGAAAGGTGGTATTTGAGATTTAGCTGAGCAAGGAAAAAGAGCTTCATTTGTGACGACAAAAACGACCCTACAATTGGAGTCTCTTTCCTCTTTCTTTTGTCTAAAAAGGACAGCATAACCTTATTTTTTTTGCTATAGATTAATGAGGGACTCAATGACAATCAAGAAAACCAAATAACCAAAGGGGCGTTGTGGTAATTAAATTCTATTTTTCTACCAATATTTTACCTTCAAACAAACATAGACTTTGAAATTTTAAATCAATTTTTTCGATAATTTTTCGCTCTACCAAACAACTTTTTTTCTCATTTTCTTACCAAACTCGTTTTTCTATTATTTTCCTAGTAATTATATTTTCCTGATCAAAAAATATATCTCCTCTACCAAACATCTCCTCGGCGATATGTGCCTCATAGATATTCATGAGTTTACCGACCCATACAAATTTACTTGATCCCCTTGGATCGAACACACACCAAATCACATGTGAACTCAATTTTTTTCTATTCCGAATATTTCTCCTTTAAGAAAAATCCAGTTGCCTTTAAAAGAATATATCCTTCAATTACAAAAAGCCCCTACTTAGAAGAATCTATTTTTCTTTTGGCCAGAAACACACTCAGAATATGACCCCTGAAATCACCATGATAGTTGCCAATCCTTACCACCACACAACCTAAGGCTGTTAGACTGTAGCTGCCGTGGCTTAGTTACTCCCCTTGCAAGGTACGCTCCGGCGACCTTTTTTACTTAATTATTTATTAATACTTTCTCTCACAAAATTCTTGAAAGAAACTATCCTGTAACGAAATCAATTTGGAGTAATTCTTAATTAAAGAAATATAATAAAAGCAGTCACGTGGATCCTTTTAACATATTAATCTTTTGGGAGAATTTTGAGAGAAATGGTTGCACAACACGATGTTCAAGTGGCCTTACCATCCTATTTATTAAATAAAAAGTTGATTTTAAACACAAATAATCAAAAATAAAAGACGAGTCTTTGCATTATTCATGTTTTGAACAAAAAGAAAAAAACTCTTACATGAGAGAACATGTTAAGATTTTATGAGGGTTGGTTGCATAGCAATAATATTTACGGAATGAATTATGATAAAAATAATAATCCAATTTTGAGTTTGTGACTATCAAAATTTCGGATTTAACTGAGTCATTACTACACCAATAACTATGGTCTACGGGGAATAATTCTTCAATTAACAGAAATACCTACCTCCCTATTCACACCACCTTTCCCACTTGAACTACAGCTACATCCACAGTGGCATACTTCTAGAGTCCTGAACAAAGATAAAAATTGATAGATTTGGGAAGTATTCTGTTGTTCTGTTCATTTATAAGAGAACGTCTTCATATAGATGAAACAGTACAAAATTGATTCAAGCATTCTTATCTAAAATAATCAATCCGGAATAACCCTACGTCTTTCTAGATGAATATATATGATCTTATCATGTGTCTGTCACTCTGTCGGTCTGTCCCATTATTAATTTGAAACTATAGATCGCTAATAGAATTTAAAAAATTCATAAATATTATATAACGTTCATGAGGTCCAAAAAGAAAACAGCTAACTTGTGAGTGGTCATGATGCGCTAACGCGCGTATTTGTACACATGCTGCTGGGCATCTATAGTATCTCGTTCGGCAGACAAGTGAGGATAACCAGCAGTAACACAGCATAGACGAATTCAGTTCCTTGCCTTTTGTTATTGGCTTTTATAGACACATTTCTATATATTAGAACATTATGGGAACAATATACAGATCTGATAAAGAGTGCAGAAGGGATAATACACTTATATAACTGTAACTTTAGCTTCAACTTCTTAACACCACAACCCAGCACACTTAACAAGTGAGTTCAAACTTAATAAACATATTTACATTGTGATCCTTAAATTCATAATTGACTACATAATTGTATATATGAACTTCACAAAATTATATCAAATTACATATTCATCCCATTTTTTAAATTCAAATACATTAATCCATAGAAGTTTAAATTCAAGAGAATTTTAACAACTAAAGCATCTATCTATCTCTGCCAACTATATGGATTTATTTTCCAACCTATTATCAACAGATAGTTTAGATAATCAGATCCTTGGAGAAATATGAACCTGCAAAGGATTTTTCATGACCACAGTGAATTCCTGTTTTTCAGTCAAATCAACATGACCTCCTTCCGAAACCTTCCAATCAAAACTCCAAACCAAATTGGCCACAAAGTATTCTAAATGGAGCATTGCTACATTATAGCCAGGACAAATCCTCCTCCCTGCTCCAAACGGCATCATCTTGATCTCTTTGCTTCCAGTAATATCAAAAGCCTCAACTTGAGCCTCGTTCTGGTTCAAGAATCTCTCTGGCTTAAACTCCATGGGATCTTCCCAAACCTCAGGGTCCCACCCCATCTCTGCCACCATAAAATTCACAGTCCCATTCTTAGGCACCAAATAACCATTCAAAACAACATCCTCAGTCACAGCATGTGGCAACACAAAGTGCCCCGGTGGGTGACGCCTCAACCCTTCCAAAATCACAGCTTTGAGATACCCCATCTTCTCCAAATCTTCCTCTGTCACTTCCTTATCCTCTCTATCACCCACCACCTCCTTAATCTCCTCCACAAGCTTCTGTTGAACATGAGGGTACTTCACCAAATTCGCCATAATCCACTGCAACGCAGTGGAAGTTGTGTCTGTGCCAGCATTCATAAACTCGGAACATACGGTAACAATTTCCCCTTCATGCAGCTTGCGTTTCTCCTCAGGCAATTCCAAATCCAACAAAGTATCCACATACGAAACGACAGAGTTTGAGTCATCGCTCACTCTACCCTCCTTAGCTTGCTTCCTCGCTCTTATCAACGGAACCAACACATCTTCTAGCTCCTTACGAACCCGAAACAACTCCTCCCAACGTTTGCGGAACAAAATCGCAGTGACTTTTGGCCAGAAATTTAGGATGTTGAATCTGCTAAAGCTGAGAAGTAGTTGGCGCAGGACACGCTCGATGTCTTTGACTTTCTCATCGTCAACTCTTTCACCGAAACACATGAACACGAGCAAGCAGAACATGGCGTATTGAAAGTGGTCGATGACCCGTATGGAATCGCTTGATTCCGAATCAAATTTTAATCGGGTGAGGAGGGTTTCCAGGACCCACTTGCGGGTACTGGAAAAGGATTTGACCCGAGAGTGGTGAAGTATCTCGGAGGTAAGGTTGCGGCGGAGGATGCGCCACGTGGGGCCGTAGGAGGCGGAGCTGATGTTATGTTGTTCGCTGGTGAAGACTTTAGCAGTGGGAAGAGCTTTGGGGCGGTCGGAGAAGAGAGAACCGTTTTGGATTAAAGCGTGGTGGGCGAGGGTTCGATCGCGGATGAATATGGATGGAAGAGAACCAATGCGGAGAGTGATGATGGGACCGTATTTAGCGTGAAGGCCTCGAAGAATAGGTTCTAGTTCTGAGAATGATTTTACGAGCCATGTGATGCTTGTGATGATGGGGATGTGACGAGGGCCAGGTGGGATTTTAATGCTCTTTGTTTTGTTAATGTTGTTGTTGTTGTTGGTGGTGGTGGTGGATGAGTAAAGGGAGAGGATGGCCCTGATGAGCACACAGAAACAGAGAGAGACTAGGATGAAGAACCAGGTTTCCATTTGATAATGTTAACAGATTGCGAGACTGAGCGTGCGATGATGCTCAACTTAGTGTCTTGTAAAAAAGGAAAGAGCAGGAAATAAAAGTAGTTATAAGAAATGGGCAATGAATGTGTCGGGTACAATGGGAAGGCAAAAGTTGACGTCATCGCATGCGAAATCAGGGAATTGGGATTGTGGTGGTGTTGCGGACTTGTGGCAGGGAATTGGGATTGATTGGCATGGAAAAAGAAAAACAACTCCTTCAAAATATCATGGGCGTGTTGACAAATTTGAGCAATACTTGTATTTTGTTACTTCGCCAGCACCACACTAATGAACCTCACCTTATCTTCATTATTTGCCGTTTATTGTAAGTCATTCAATTTGTATACTTTTTTGGGGGGTAATCAATTCTTCAGTTATAGAATTGTCCCGTTTCCTGCATATAGACTATAGAGTAATACGTGGGGCCCATCACCTTTTTTTAAAAAAATGTTAAATTTTTTTTATGTATCTTAGCGGAAGAATACTTTTCTTCTTGATAAAATTAGGAAAAATTATATGTTTTTTTTTTTTTGTAAATAAATTATATGTTATTTTAGAAGATGTAAAATTGTGTCATTCTAAGTAATAGAAAAAGATAGAGCATGAAGGAGGGAGAATAAACAAAAAAATAAAAGTGTAAATTTCACTTCTTTGTGAAAGTGAAATAATACAAATTATATAATTTAGAAAGACAAATATTTTTTCTATAAAATTATTCCCCTTTTTTGTACGAAGATAATTACTTTTTTGGAGTAAGTCTCCCTTATCTTCTCTCCACCTTTAACTCTTTAAGCTATTATTCCAGTTAAAGTTCTTTCTCGCTTTTCAAAAATATATTTGATGGTAGGAGTATTAAATGAAGGGTTTTTTTTTGGTAAATGAAGGGTCTGAACTTTAACTCTACTTGTGAAAGTCTGAATTTATATATTTAATATTAATTATTGAAATTAGATTTAAATTTATATAAAAATTCGTTTAATATAAATATTTTAGACTTTAATTCAAAAGTCCATCCTTAGAATATCTTAGATTTTTGACTTAATATACTAACTTTTATTTTAATTTTGTATTTTTTATATTAGTCATAATAGTTCTCTCTCTCCTTAACCTATTTCATTAGTTAAATAGATTTTTTGAATAATTTGTTCTATATTATGCTATTTGAATATATATTAAATTTATAAATCTTTGTAGAATTATTAGTGATGTTGATTGTATATTCTGTTTGAAAAGATTTTTGTTGTCTTATTTTTTATAAATAAATCAAGTCATATGCTGATAATTATATCACAATAGGTAACAGGTTAAGTCAGACTGATATATTTAAACACATACTTAATCCCTAAGGATAGCTCAGTTGGCAACTGAGCTTCCAAGAGTTTGCTTGAGTCAGGGGTTCAAACTTTGCCTCAAGCAAATTCTTGAAAAATCTTTGGGGCCCATAGGATGTGTCTTCCATTAGTCTCATCATTTCTCTGGTAGCGAGTGCACCAGCTGTTCCAATGAGGGGCTAGCCTTCAGGGTCGTACTTTGAAGACAAGGTGACCGGAGGAAGTTGTATGGAGATACTCCAGGTTATACAAAAAAAAACACAAACTTAACCTTTTAAGATCAAAATTATATGGCATTAACTCTCTTATTTGATATGAATCAAATTTAAATTCTCTCCCCACTTTATTTGACCTTGTTGCCAACTGAGTTTGTATCCTACTACCAAACAAATGTATTTATAAAGCTTATTAACATTGATGTCTCATATCAAATGATAATTATTTAAGTGATGCATGAGAGCTAAATGAGCATATAGCGATAAAAACATGTTTAATCCTCTCGAGTATTATTTTCGAGAGAGATTTAAATCTTAATCATAAATTCTCCTCGAACCAAATTATTTCCTTATGTCGTTTATAAAAAAAAAAAAACATTGACGCCTCACGCATCCTATCAGCGTTATTTTATTTAATACTAGTAATTTGCGTACGTAGTGTCCGTTCCAAATTTAATTCATTTAAGATGTTGCTATGATATCATTTTTTAATGTTACAAGTTACAACGTTACTTCCAAATTTAATTTGTTTATTATACTGTCATTTTTGTAATTTATGATAATAATCACTTTTTCGTTGAATCAAGTCAATCAACTCAAATAATGGAATTATTATTTGGGAGAATAGTTTATCTTCTCCCGCCGTTGACTCACCGAAATCTGTTTCTTATCTTTCGTTTTTTTTTTTTTTTAAATGGTGAGCCACAATTTGTTTTTGTCTGCAAAAAATTCAAAGTCTCTCACAGACATAAAGCCCATTATTTATGATGTAATATGTTTTACTCGGGCGACAGTGACACTCTTTCTTTACGTCATTTGATTCTTTAACTTAAAGACCACTCCTTTATTTTACGTCTCATTTGGCCATTTCTTCTCTTATCTTCTCCACGCTTTGCAAAAGCTCAACATTTATTACGGTGGCGTTTGGTAAAAGAAAAAAAACAAGAGTAAATATTATTTTTATCCTCAGCAAATCTTACGATGCCTATTTTAGTTCCTAACAAATAAAAATATTCATCGTGATTCTTAAGAAATTCAAGATAGACCCATTTAGTTGAAATTTTAGTACTTCACAAATTCAAAAAAGATCGATATTAGTCCCTAAAAAGACTAAAATGGATCCATTTTGAATTTTTTAGGAACCACGATGAACCTTTTTATTTGCTGGGGACTAAATCGGGCGTCGTGAAATTTGCTGAGGACCAAAAAAGATATTTACTCAAAAACATATTTAGAAATTATGATTTCTAAAAATAAAGTAAAAATAAATAAATTTTTTAAAGAATATTATTAAAAATATATATGATATGTAAAAATTATTCTAGAAATATTAGGTTAATTTCTTGATACTATATTTTATTGATTATAAGATATTACCGGTAACATGAATTGAGGTTAATTATATCTCAAAAAATTATCAAATATTTCCATTATATAAAATTTTCAAAATACCACATATTTGATGATATTTTAAGATAGAATTTTTCTTTGTAAATATGAATCAGGAACTTTCTCGAGAAATTTTTTACAATTTTGGTATCGATTGTGAGTAAATCGAATTTTCAATCACAATTTTAAAATCTGTTCTTCTACAAAACTCCACTAATGTCATCTACCTTGATCTTGTTGGGAAATTTGTTCCCTCAAACTCCAATGTCAAGCGGGTCCAGGGGAAGCCCGTGGCGGGGAACCACCACCAATGAGCTAAGGCTACACCAACCGTAGCAAGTGGATCCGACACCATGTCTCAACCCAAAACCTTAAGGCATTGGGTTCATGGGTCCTTTCACTTATATACTCTTCACTTAGCTCATTACCAACCAATGTGGGACTCATCACACTTGAATATCTCAACAATCTCCCCCTCAAGTGTGTAACCCACCATAGGTATGTTCCCCCTCAACCGAGTACCCGAAGCGCAAAGTACTCGACCCGCCTCCTAGCCAATCAATAGGCTAGCTCGAGCCCAATCCGGCTCTGATACCACTGTTGGGAAATTCGTTCTCTCAAACTCCAATGTCAAGCAGGTCCAGGGGAAGCCCGTGGCGGGGAACCACCATCAATGAGCTAAGGCTACACCAACCGTAGCAAGTGGATCCGACACCATGTCTCAACCCAAAATCTTAAGGCATTGGGTTCATGGGTCCTTTCACTTATATACTCTTCACTTAGCTCATTACCAACCAATGTGGGACTCATCACACTTAAATATCTCAACAGACCTTACCTCCACTTAGCGATTGAGACTTCTCAGGCTTAAGCAACGTTTCATCGAAAATCCTCGAGCAAGTATCACCAACAACTAATTGATGGGGTTCTAAAGAGAGTAGCAAAAGCGAGGGGAAAAATTAATTTATTGTATTTTTAATAAAAATTTATGAATTTATTGCTATTTTGAAATTGATTACGCATGTGTTGCAGTGTGTCACGCCCTGATTGGGCTGCAGGGGTCACGCCCAAACCAGGCATGACCAGTGACACCCAGACCAGGCATGATCCACTGCAACCTATAAATACCTCAAATTTTCCATTTTTACCATTTTACTCTCTCTCTTTAACTTCTCTCTAATACGCTTGTGCTATCTACCTTTTGTGGAAAATTGGTTAGCGAAGCTCTGTAAAAAAAGTAAGATTTTAATACCTGCTATCTATAAGTTTAAATTACAGTAATAGATTAGGAATATGTTAATGAATTACAAATTTATTAGTGACTTAGAAAACTGTTAGTGACCAAGAAATATCAAGTGACTTAGAAATTTTGTAGTGACTTAGGAATGTTGTAGTGACCTATGAATTAAGATTATTTACTTACGACCTTTGGACGACCTTTTGCACATAGCATAGAAGTGCCAGGTATAAGCATTGGACCTGCACTTGGTGGAATAGCTTCCTCATTACCAATTGGCTGCCATGGAAATGAATATGTCTGAACCAAGTTACTTGTCAAGAATACATCATCCACATATTGGAAAGGATCCTAACAAACACTTAAAGCAGCAGCTGCAGCGTGAATACACTGGTATTTGAAGGCCTTAAACTTTCCACATTGACAGAACCTCACTGGCAGATTGACAGAATAAGACCTATCCCATCCCTCGTCAACCTCAAATATTGTTTGATCAATGTTAAATGCACGCACATGGTGTCCTGTAGCTAGATGTTCATTGTGCTTCAGCAGTTCAACTACATTTTTTCAATGACAATGTGCAGATTGAAGTTGTGAAGCAGCTGCTTGACCCCTACTAACAAAATAATGAACCAATTTGTTGTATGTGTGCTTAATCAGAGCAGTTATTGGCATATTTCTTGCCCTTTTTAACTCCATGTTTACAGATTCTGCTAAGTTAGTTGCCATATGCCCATATTTGCGTCCTTCAACATCATATGCACGCGTCCACTTTTCCTTAGGGATGACATCAATCCACTCTGCAACCTGAGGACTAGCTTCACGGAATCGTGCAAAACCTCTTTCAAAATCCACCATTGACGGGGTATAACCTGAACAGAATGTTAAATATATAAATTTGAAGTACTGTATGCATAAAAAATGAATTTAAGATTGAGGCAAAAATACCTAAATTCTTTAATATCCTCTTCAACCTCTCATTCCTGAACTTTTGATTAAAATTGCTAGTAATACGACGAAGGCAAAACA